CTTCTGCACATGTGCAGAAGTGCCACACAAGCGCATGTGTGAGCACGAGCAAACCGGTAGCACCGGGATTTGCAACCCACCTCTGTATTCATTGTTAAAGCACTAAGTACTTGAAAAATAAAAATAAAATAATTATATGCTTCCTTTAAAATTGTGTATATACATGTATGTGTGTGTGTGGGCATACATGCATTTGGGAGCACACACACAGACATGTCCACTACATACATACCATACATTACATACATACATACATACATACATACATACATACATACATACATACATATATACATACATCAAATATCCTACCCTTTTTTCAAAAGTTCAAGTACTTAGTGCTACCTTCTCCAAATTTTCTCAACAGCCCTAAGGGATTAATCAGAGTGAGGGGCTCAACATCATCCAATAAGCTTCTATAATTAAAAAATTTACCTGAATCTGATTTTCCCCAATCCAATGCAACACCTTAAAATGACATTTGGACTCCAATCTTGCCAGTTTGGTATAGTGATGAAGATGCTGGCCTAGAAATCAGGAGACTGAATTCTAGGCCATCACTTTGTCTCAGCCCAACTTACCTCACAAGGTGGTTGTTGTGGGGAAACATTGGAGGTAGGAGTATTAGGTGTGCTTTTCACTTTGAATTATATATAAAGTACAAGATAAAACTTTAATTATAATCTTCTACTACATATTTGGAAGTTATGAAGTTATATGTGATGACAGAAAGTTCAAAAAAGAAGAAAAAGACTTTATACTAGAAGTCAGGTAATATAATAGCATAATATTCACGTTTTTGGTAACTATTTCATATCCTCCAAAAATGTTCTGGTGGGAAACCATATTATCTCTTCTAATCCATCCTAACTTTATTTTTTATAGTATTACTTGATTGCCATTCCCCCCAAAATTGCCTCAAATTTCAGGTTGAGGATTAAGCCTACAATCTTTATAAAAGAATTTTGATTTTATTTTTTAGAAAACAAGTTGCCATAATATTGATCCATCATACAGGGAGAACAAATCTCTTTTAAACTCTGGAATATGCTTAACTCACCAGCCTTGGAAAAATCATCTCGATTGTAACTCAAATCTTTCAAAAAAGTTATGCTTTCAGTTTCTGGATTGTAGCGCCTAGATGTCTCCAACAGCATCACCTTGAATATACATATACAACACACATACCAAAACCAGTCACAATTATAAATCTGACAATAAAATCAATTAAAGAGTTATTGCACTCAAATATCATAAGTGATTAAATAAATACTTTTTGATAACAAAAATTATCAAAAAGAATTTGTACAGTACCTTTAATATATCTGTTTTGCTTTATTTTTCTTTAACTTATTTAGGTCGTAAAGTTCAATATGTACAGAAAAATGAGAGACAAAATGATCAAATAAATACATAACCTATAAAAACATTTTTCTTGTCCTCTCCTTTCTCACCACTCCTTTCTCCACTTACGTTTCTCCTAAGGTTAGGGATTTCTCTGGACTGATGCAGGGACAACTTCATGAGTAAAGAACTCTCCTTATAGAATCTAATTTGAGAAAATTCTCTGCTTTCCTCTCATCTTTCTGAAGAATGGCTATCTTTCTGAAGAAGGATTCCTTGATTCTCAAAACACATATTTTGCCCAGATCTGTAGAATACAGGTGCCAAGAGGAAAGTACTAATCCACCAGACATCCTTTTAGGATCCCAATCAAAGCTTGTTCCTGTGAACCCCACTAGGTAGACCAGACCTAGAAAACTGCCCAAGAATACCAAAATTACTTTTATTGAGATTGATTGTAATAACAGAATCTTGCAAATCTGATTGTGCTGTACCTCCTCTCCCTTTTTATACTCCAGTAATTAGGGAAGCTTCTGTTTGAGTCACTTCCAAATGTTATCTTGCTGCTCTGGGCTTAAAACTTGTCTCAATCCCTTTTGCCTAGATAGCAATTCTTGCATATCAAGGTGATTTTCCACACACTCTACATTTCCACTGACTGGGGTTTCAGACCAAATCTTCATTCTACTTTCTATGGTCACCTTAATATCAATTGGAATTTCATTAAGATCTAGAGGTTCAGAATTTCTCAAACAGCCAGGGTAATGATTTATTTATTTATTCAGTCAGTTGGTCAGTTACTCATTTTGATGCCTTCTTACTCTAACAAGTCTGGACAGCTCACAATACACCAAAAAATAAAAATGTAACATAACAGACAGACATAAAACCAGAAGAAGAAAGTAAAACTAATAAACTCCAAAATATCTCACTAATATCTAATATCCATAGGAAAAGGTCTGAGAGCATAAATATCTTTACAGCCTTCCAGAATACCAACAGGATGGGAGCCATTCAGTTCTCAGGAGAAACCTGATAGATGGCACTGTTTAATTTTAGGAACCTGGAGCATGCCAACCTTTTTAGCCAAAATTGGTGAGGCAGATACCATGGAAGATTGCTGGCTCTTCCAGTAACTGGGCTGTTTGCCATGTACGGCATTATAGATGATAACTAGCACTTTGAGTCACGTGGAAGTAATCTGGCAACCAATGCCATTCACACAGCAGAGATGTCACTTGGGTATACTGAGGCATGCTGACAACCGTCATAAAGGAATGAACTGATGTTTAAATCCTGGAAAGCTAACATCAGAAAACTTTAACTTAAAATTAATAGTTTGCTCATTAAGCATGTGACTTTTAAAATGTTCTTTGATCTTGAAATTGCTCTAGTCAGACATTAATAAAAGAAATAAACAGTTTCTCTCTTTTGCCATTAGATAATACAAAAGGAAACGGCACATATACTGTCATGTATGCCAATTTGTTTATTTATTTATTTATTTGATTTCTATAGTTTCCTATCTCACAAGTGATTTTAGGTGGAATACAATTTTAAGAATATAAAATAAATGTATATGGTTGCTGAGTAATACTATTGCTGTAGATGTTAACACAGGCAAAAAACCAAAGCCCTTAGTGTATTCAGGGCCCTAGGCCCACACATATAACCAGATCTTCACAGCTTTATGGAATGCCAAGAATCAAGTTTATCCTAATCCCTGAAGGGAGAATATTCCAGAGGGCAGAAGCTTCAGCAGAAAAGATATGTCTCCTACTATTCCCTGCCAACCGATTTTCCTTGCCTGACTCCTAATACACACAACTTGCCAGACTGAATTGGACAGGTAGCAATGGCTGAGATAAGATAATCCTTTAGATAACTCAAGTGATAAACATGATAACTAGCAGCTTGAATTGTACAGAAGCATGGTGGCAGCCAATGAAGCTCACATAGCAATGGTGTTACCTGTGTCAAATATCTGTCACCATTTTATTACCTGTGCAGCCAAATTATGCACCAGCTGAAGTTTCAAAATGCTCTTCAAGGATAGCCACATAAAGAACACATTGCATGAGGTCACAAGTCATGAATGACTGTAAACAAAGTCTCCACTCCACAAATTGGCACAACTGGTATACAACGTTCAGGTGTGCAAAGACCATCCTGATTACAAATCCCTCCTGCTCCTCTAGTAAGAGCCAAGGGAAAATGGAAGAGTACTTACTTCTATTGTAGAAGTCTTCAAAAGAGCAATTTGGTCTTCTCTAGTGAGTTCCAAGAAACCTGGCAACTGTTTGGCAAAGTCCACAATTTCCTGCACAGAAATGATGGCAAGCTCTGTGAAATGAGCAAAGCGCTGTTGTCGTGCTTCACGATGAAGAGGATCTGAAATCCGAGGCCACGGCTGCAATTAAATAGCAAAGAGGGAAAGAAGAAGACTTTAATAAGAGTAGAAATTAAAAACAGGAAGTCCATTGAAATTAGTCTCACTAATGATCTCATAGCTCTCATACAAGTTTGGCCTAAACAAAACTAATATTATATCTGGTTAATATGTTATACAATCCCTCCAGAACATGTTACACAATCCTTTGTCACTAGGAATTCAGAGTCATTCCACCTCAAAACAAGCAAGTTTCCACCAACTATTCTTTCAGGTCTTTGACCACAGTAACTGAAAGATATAAAGCAAGCTCCTCTCAGTCTTTTATATGAGTATGAGGTATTATTCCCTTGGGTCTCTGGAGACTATTACAACATGAATGCACTGTCTATTAAGTATGAGGTATTATTCCATAAGGTAACCATTCACTATACAAAATCAAAAGAAAGTTAAGTGAAGATCAGTGTGTGCCTGCTTTCTCCTATTTAACAACCCACAAAAAATTGTGCTTTTACCGTCACTTTGAGCCTATCTGTGAAAGACCGTTGATTACACTGCTGTTGAGCTGCAACAAGTTTTTCTATCATAACAAGCTGCTCTGGTGTCATTTTGGGAAGGGTGCTTGGAGGAGATGGTGGGTTCTGACGCACAGCTATCATCCGGGCTTGATCATCTTCCTGCTTCTTAAGTTTCTTCAGCTGGATTTGCTCTTCAGAGAGAACACCTATAAATGTAGAGCACAGGACAGATAGGAATCAATGATACCATGGCTACCAACCAGCTTACAGTACATAATCACTTTTGCAAAAGCCTTAAAGTCAACTCCGGCCATGACTAAATTGAACATAATTTGCAGTAAGAAACCCAGCCACAAAAATAGGAAAAAAGAGAGGACAAATCTATCCCTTAAAGAAAAGAGAAAATATATCCTTTCAAACCAGAATATACCCAAGTGAAAAAACATTTGGTCAAACAGATAAAATGAGGGGCTAGAAAGGATTCTGATAATAAACTGATAGCAAACAGAAACCATTCTACATTCTAGACCAGCATTTTATAATAACACTAGCTGATAACCTGGCGTTGCCTGGGTATTTATAGACGTTGACGGGTTTGTCTGACAAGGAGCCATTGAGAGGTTGAAATTGCTTGAAGTGCTGGTACATACATACATACAAAACTAATATAATATTAATGATAATATAAGATGGATGGATGGATGGATGGATGGATGGATGGATGGATGGATGGATGGATGGATGGATGGATG